GTATTTTTTATTTGTTTGAAACGTATATTTTATCGGAACTGTTGGGCAAAGCCCCCTCGAGTGCTGTTTGCGTGACCTATATATAGCCCCCCCCCTCATAATCAAAAAGTAGAAATTAAGCACAAGTCGTTCCTGCGGATCATATAACACAGCAACTTCGCGATAGTAAGTTGTTGTTTCACCCCACGCATTTTTAATAGCCCGCAGGAAATCTGAACTCGATTAATAATAATATACCTAATAATACCTTAACCCCGTTCGGGGAATATTATATATATAGTTACAATAGGGCATAGGATGATGATAATAATAATAATATCGTCTGATGTAACACTATATATTCGTTCCCCACAATTGTTCGTTACGTGCTCAATTTCGTGTACAATTGCCCAGGGACGAGGCTCTAGCTATGGTTTTTCGTGGTCAAAATAAATACTTTTCCAATGACCATTTTATCTCTCGAATACATTCGTCTAAAATCGTAAGTGCGCACCTGCACTCTTCGTCGACAATATTTTCTCCTTTTCATAATATTTTTATTTTATAATTATTCGACGTGCTTTATTTTACTTAGTCATGCTCATATAGTTAGGTACTTACTTAAATATTGTGTTCACAAATATCACTGAAAGTTAGGTGTTTAAATACACTCTACTAATGACCATCATATTTTGTTGTTTAATAATATTAATGTTTTGTGTACTATTGACATTTAAACTATTCTCAGTGCTACCATGATATTTAGAATTCAGAAATGTAACAAACATTATAACAAACTGAAGTGTTCTACAAAATGTAAAGTTTTTAATTCCAATTGAAATTCTTATTTATGTTTGCCATACTAGTTAGAAGTTCTTCAGTGTTTATACCAGAATTAAACAAGTTGCTCTTAATCAGCTTCTTCGGAATCAATTATGAAAGATACCTACTACAAACCGCCTGTTGTATGTTTTTCAATTAAAGCACGTGTGCACTAATTACAGTTTAATTCTTTAAGAAACTATTACGGAAGACTCAATCAGCACTTACTAATTATTATCGTTAGCTCCTGTTTCTCAAACACGCTCACTTAGATGACCCGAATAGAAAATGTAAAAATAATTTCCAATCTACGACTCTCAAGACGTTATATAAATGCACTATTATACACTTCAGGAAAATACTATAGTATAGGTATTCAGATATACATAATGTAGATAAATTCGTAAAATTCAGTACATCCTATAACGTCACGTCCTCATAAAAAATACTATAACCAAAATAATACTCGACAGTGGTACTTTAGTCGTGAGTGAATTATGAATTAATTTAAAAAGTGCAGTGCATTATTTCGAAAATAAAATAATATTACTTCCTTTAATACGGAGGTCCTTAAATTCGTATAGCCATAAATGGCATAAACGTCACAGTCATCTCGCCGTCAGACCGGGCACCCTCCCCCCCCCCACCAACACTCATCAGATCGTGTCGTGAACTTCACGGCCGATGGCGATGGCAGAAGCAATTTTGGTTGTTTGACGAGGGATACTAGGAAAATATTATTATTATTATCAACATCATTACAATGCGGAAGTTTATGGTCTGACTTCCGGCGAGTTTCTCGACGGGTGACCATAGTGCAATGTGATAGTATATTGTATAGACTTATATTATATTGAACAACGACCCCATGGGGCTTTTAAAAAATTCGGTAAACCAGATAATTAGTAAATTTCTGTAACTACACGAGACGCGCATTATTCGAGGCCAATAACGTAGAGCAATCGATTGCCGTGGATTACAAGTAAAACGGTCCTCAGCTACGCAACATAATATACATGAGGGTACGTCACTCTGCCCATTGCCCCTGTAATATCATTGTTATTATTGTTATTAAATAATGATAACAATGATAATAATTATGTTATCATCGTCGTCGTCGTTATTATCGTTATTATAATGATGTTACCGATACTATTTGGGTTAATTAGTTATCACTCATCAATCATCACAGTAATATGTTTTATAATGATCCAGTACCATATTATAGAGGTACATATATCCCATACATAATATATAATCGTAATAATATTATAATCTCTCAATAGTTCAAATGTCAATGTGGATGGAAAAATAATTTAGACTCATTGAGTTTTCATCGAAGAAATCGAAATGTTGAATTGCAAAAATAGACGACTGTTCGAGTTATAATATTAATTATTCTATTCGATAGATGGGCACTTAAAAAAAATGTCTAGTGCGTCGGTGCGTCACAAATATAAGAATATATCCGATAGAAAGCTGCTTTTAAGCACTTATTATTTTTGACAGTTTAATATTTATACACATTGGCGAACAATATGGTAACTGTGTACAGACAATTAGCCTCTTACGAACAGAATATTGTTGTCATTGAAACTATAGCAGTCAGAAATTCGTTTATAAAATTCGATGAAGTGTACGAAAATGTGAACGTACTAACATATAAGTGAACAACTCAAATTATCATAATATAATTAATGTGATAATTATTGTAAGGCGTGTACGTGCAGGTTTGCTGTCTACAGATACCCATAAACACTGAAGAGTCCTCGAAATGTATCTAATTAAGACGTCTTAAACATATTATCCAGGCTTTGACTTATACAATAAAATACGATTAAACAAATAAAAAAACAACATCGATAAGACTATAACGTGATTTTTTTATAATCCCGAGGACTAATCACATTGAATTTCTACTGACTAAAACATGTATTATATTCGGTAACTTGAAGTTCGATGGGACTTATACAAATTACATTCTAACCGTCGACAGTTTTGAGTCATGAGAGATGATAAGGATCGAGAATCCGAGTGTCGACTGTTCTACTATTCTATTAAATTCTATTCTATTGAACAAACAATAAGTATTCCTCAATGTCATTAAATAAAAAACAATTAAGATGACATTGAATGAAATATGTATGAATTTGAATATTAATTTACGCAATTAATAACGATAACTGATCTTATTTACCATATAATTTACAACCAATAGTTTGTCAAACATTTCAGAAAAGCATTATGTAGCCAATATTAATATTATTAAAAATATTTTATAAGTTTTGTATTTATAAATAATATATATATATTCATAAAATACTTGCACCTAATAATCTAATACTTTGTCAATGCATTAAAGTGTATTTGAAGTGTACACATGCGAGTACATAAAAAACATATTTTTTTTGGGGGGGAGGGTTGTAATGGTTTATATTTTCCCACTTTTACTCTATAAAAGCATACTTCATCATTTTTCTGAAATGTTTGGAGAGTTGAACCCCTAAAACTCCCATTGTGTAGGCAAACGCCTTTGTGTACACATAATTACATGAAAATCTATTAAAAATGTATAATATTCTAAATATAAAATTAAAATTTCACAACACCTTAATGTAGGTAGTCATCCCTGAATTTGGAATATGATTATTATATTAATGTTATATTTTGTATTTAAATATCCCGAACTATACTTGGATTGAAGGAGAATGTAGTGTTTGCAGAGTACGCCTTTTTTAATCATTAATCAATAAGAAATTTAAATATTCAGGTACGCAAGTTCTTTTTATATTGACAAATGTAGAAACTTGAATATCAACATACATATTACAATGAAAACATTATACTTTTTCAGACTTAATTTAGATTTTTGCAGATAAAATTATTGTGTATTTCGACAAAAAGCTTAAACTGTAATACATTAGTTATTCTTACTAAAGTCAACAAAAATATCAAAAATAAATTATTAATTTTTATTAAGCGTGTGAAACACATCAAAATCAAGAAAATGTGTCAATATTTTATGGTTGAAAATGAACACAATATTCAATTTTAATCAATAACACATGAAGATATCATGCATGGTTTCTCATAAATTTTTATTCCAGAAATTCAAAAACATCAAAAATCTATAGTAGGTACCTACTTAATAATTATTTTTCATTAACATTCAAATAAATGGTCATATAAATGTCATTCGTAAAAAAAAATAACACAAACTTGAAATATTCTCCATTTTCTTATATAATATATAATTGAATAAACACAATGCATTTTTCAAAATATTAATAATAATTTTTCATAGTAAATTATTCAAGTTGTTATAGTGTATGAAAAAATGTATTATATTCTTAACATGTCATTCATAAATGTTTCTCACTCAACTAAGTGTTTGCATTTTAAATATTTATAATATTCATAATATTTAAAATATTTTATATGAGGTTTTTACTGTATTTTAAAATGTATATTAGCTATGGTAAATCGTTGTAAAAAAATATTATTAACAATAAAACATTTTAGTATTTTAGTAAGTACCGATTAAACACTTAAAAATTACGACTTGAATTATAGGTTCACGATAAACGATAATATATTATAACATAAATTATCACATTTTAATTCTCTTCTACATTTTATGATAATTTTATTTACATTTATGTATCACATA